GTCTTGCAGATCAACCTGAGATTAGAGGTAGTAAAAGCAGAGAAGCGGAGCATAGGGAGGGGATACCAGCTGGATCGAGTCCTTCAGGTGGCTTGGAGTGAAATTTATGTCAGATCTGCCTCCCTAAGTTCTGGACAAGACATTTAAAAAAATACAGCGAGCGTTCTGTATCAGGACCACGATTTAGAGACTCACAAACTCCCATGGCATTACATTTGACGTCTGTTTCAGAGGCACATGGAATCTCAGTGATGCTGAGGTCACAGCGTTGTCTCAATGGCAGCCATTGGAATTGGGCGGTCCTTTTCCATAGAGCCAAGAGCCAGCCTTCCCTGGAGGAGATCAGAGGGTTATCTGCACCTCTCAAATTCAGCCTGCCAAGGAGAACACAGCCATGGCTTATGCCCCCTTCACAGTGCTCTCTGGCCCCCTAACTGCAAGAGAGTATTGTGGAAGACAGCTTGATTGAGTATTCCAGCCAGAGATCTACTGCTCAGCCGCTGAATTTCTATAATCCTTACCCTTGGCTGTGCTTTTTAAAAAAATAATTTTTAAAAACGTTTTTTCTTATGTTAAAAAGCTATTTTTCAACTACCTTTTAAGTCTCCAGAGAGACCATGTGATCTAGCAAGCAGGAAACACACCCCATGGCTTCCCACACCATCCTGTTGGGAAAAGCCTCCACCTGGGAGGATCCTGTCTCTGCTGGCCTCTGGCATTCCCTGAATGTCACCCCTCAGCATCCTAAATGTGGCCTAGAGCCGGCACTCCGATGAAAAGAAGTGCACAGTGAGTACCTTCCAGAAATAAGGACTTCATCCACGGGGGTGTTACTTGTCATTTGACCCTGAACTTAATTCAAAAGGCAGCTTTCCAGAGACCTCTCATTAGCTGCCCTGCACTGCTCCTTTCCTCACCAAACCAAGGCAATCTGCGTAAGCATATTGAAGGAAGGAAATTGGCTTTCCTTTCTATTTGCCCTGAGCCTGTTATCCGGAACCACTAACCAGAACTCTCTCTGAAAATGACCAACCTCTGCCTCAGATATGGAATAATAACTTCATTTCATTTATATCATTACATGAACAAATTAAGTTAATTGCCCCAATATCATGAAATCATTAAAAATTACCAGATCATTAGAAAACAAGGATGAAAGAATTGGCTGCTCGGAAATTTCTCCATGCCTACCATTAGTGGAGACAGTGCCATATTAAAAATCAGCCAGAGTGCTCAGGTTATGTAAGCAGCTCTGTTGGCTCCGGTAAAAGAAGAATGCAGTCTCCAGGCTGGTGGGGGTGAGGGGGAAGTGGGTGGGGGGGTCTTTAGGGAATCCTACCGCCCCTTTCTTCCCCTGGAAAGACCACAGATGGAGAAATTACAAAATAACTCAAGGGCACCGAGAGCAAATCTGGGAAGGAGTCAGAGATTAATGGCCCAAGTATTCATGGCTACCAGCAAATTCTGAATTTACATCCAAAGGTAGAACTGATGCTTTATAGTTTCTCAAGTGGCCATACTAGGTATTTAAAGACAGAAATGTGTCTCTGAGCTAAAAGTGCTGATCTTCGGATACCACAGATGTCCAGCTCCAGCAAGTCCAATCTCTCCTTCCATCCCAGCAGGGGATTCACTTGCCAAGGGGAAAGGGTACCAAAGATTCCAACAATTACGTGGGGTCATGTAGGAAACATCCAGGGCATGCATCAGTAGACCATGGGTGCCCTGAGGGCAGGGGCTGTGTCTTAGGCTGCTTCCTATTGTTACCATGTAGAAATCACTCAGGGATTGCTCTGTGATTTCATTGTCAATGGTTATTAATTTTTGAGACCACGTACCTTGTAAGCATAGCTCCTTATGTGAAAACAGGTTTGTGTGGTGGTAGAGGTAACACTACCTAGCTAGTCAAAGATGCCCTGTGAACAGTAAGGCTTAAGGCTCAATAAAAAGTTAATCTTTGAGTCTCTAGCTTCTTCCAAAGTTGGTCTCTTTGGAAAGTTGTCATTATGTGGGCAGGAGAATGCCACATAGAGATCCCTGAGAGTCCTCATTCTTCCTCTTTCTACTGTCCTCATAGCTGCGCCTGACGTTTTCTTGTCTGCTGTTACAGAGACGTGCCATAGGAATTGTTACATCAACACATGTTATTAAAATACAAAATACTCTCGAGATTATTAGAGCAGACCTAAAGTCAAGTCTTAAAGTGAAATATGACTTAAACAGACAAGGTCTTAAATGGGAGCTATAAAATGCAACAAGAGAAAAGACAGTTAAGACAAATGTTTAAAAGTCCCAAATGAAGGATTCTGAATGTGTTTTCATTCATATATGTGTGTGTATGTATGTGTGTGTGTGTGTGTGTGTGTGTGTGTGTGTGTGTGTGTATGAGACGGAGTCTTGCCCTGTTGCACAGGCTGGAGTGCAATGGCGTGCTCTCGGCTCACCACAACCTTCGCCTCCCGGGTGCAAGCAATTCTCCTGCCTCAGCCTCCCAAGTAGCTGGGATTTCAGGTGCGCATCACCACGCCCGGCTAATTTTTGTATTTTTAAGTAGAGAAGGGGTTTCTCCATGGTGGTCAGACTGGTCTCGAACCCCTGACCTCGTGATCTGCCGGCCTGAGTCTCCCAAAGTTCTGGAATTACAGGCATGAGCCACTTTGCCTGGTTCTGAATGTTTAAGAAGTAAAATGAAACAGGGTTTTTGTTGTTGTTGTTTTTTGATGCCTAGAGGTTGGTTTAGTTAGGCCAGGTAAGGCAAGTACCTAGGTGTGTTGTCAGAATTGCCCCCATTTTGGTCCTGTTCAGGCTGGGATTGACCCAGAAGACCTTCAAGCATTTGCCCAGAGTTCTGAGAAGTGATGGGCAGTTGTGATGGTTTGCAGGATGGATCCAAGAGGGCAGCAATGGCTCAAGCCTCCTGGGAACTCTGCCCAACACTCTGGAGTTAACATGGTGTAGGTTATCTCCCTCTGGGCCTCCCTCCCTGCACCACTGAAGCCTGAGAAACACAGAACTCCTTGTCCATGAGCAAGGGAGCCCAAGCACTGGGCCAAGATGCCTGTGGATAGCTAGACCTGACCATCCTGGGCAACTCTCACACACCAGAGGAAAAGAGGTTTAGGCGCTTTGCCAATAAATTTCTTCTGTTCATGCCTCTGTGTGTGTATGTGCATGTGTGTGTGAGAGTGTGTGTGTGTGAGAGAGTGTGTGTGAGTGTGTGTGAGTGTGTGTGAGAGAGAATGTGTGTGTGTGTGAGAGAGAGAGAGAAAGTGTGTGTGTGTGTGTGTGTGAGAGAGAGAGAGAGAGAGAGAGAGAGTGTGTGTGTGTGTGTGTGTGTGTGCCTGCGCCTGCCTATGTTTGTCTCTGTGTTCAGTCTCAGCCTGCTAGCCAAATTCTAGGGACCCACACCCTGCAGGCACCCTGGCAGGTGGAATCTTCATGAAGCAGAAGCTGAGATCTAGAGATCCAGATCTAGAGTGTTCTGTAAATGCCTAGAGAAGCATCCCTTTCCTTCTCTTCCCTCATCTCACCCATCCCCCAAAAGGACATCCTACCAACTAGCTATGAAAACACAAAGAATTTGCTGAGAAATCTGTTACCAAAGAAATATTTTCAGGCTGCAAGCAAATGTCTCGTTGTGCACATTTTCATCCTTCAAAATTCCATTACACATTTTCCTTGTTTGTACCTTAAAAACAGAAATACAAGAGCAACCATCTGAAAGTGGGGAGTAAAAGCCAAATCCTGACTTTCTAGAAAGAGTTAGCAGCTCAGATGATCAAGATCAGTCGGGGCTTGAGCCCTCTGTGCTGGAGCGAAAAAGTAAGGGCACCTTCCCGGATCCACACTCCAGGAACTGGGGGAGAGGGCTGGCCCTGGGATACTCACCAGAGGCCAGCTCCCTCAGCTCCTACACCCAAATGAGTTCAGCAATCACACCCGTGAGAACAGCTTCTTGGGGTGTTAGTATCTTAAATTGTGTACAGGGCCTTCAAGTTTAGAAAACAATTAAATAATCATTATTTCATGCCAATGGCCAGGCTCACCACATCTATAGACCAACAGCTAAGCAAAGCCATCTCCTGCCTGAGCCTGAGCTTTGAGAATGAGCCCCACTACGGAGTCTGTGGAGGCCACCTCTGGAGGCCCTCCTCAGTGTTAGACTGAAGTCAGTTTCCCTAACCCTGAGAGGTCACTACCTTTGGGCTGCTTTGCTTAAATGCTTAAATATGTATGGGCAAGGATAGGCCCTGGGGTCAGCAAGGCTTCTGTCCTTCAGCTGGCCCTGCCATAAAGCCCAAGTCCTCAAGGGTTAACAATGGCTAATTAAAACATGAAAACAGGCTTGGCACAGTGACTTACACCAGTAATCTCAGCACTTTGGAAGGCCAAGGCAGGAGGATTGCTTGGGGCAGGCCTTGAGACCAGCCTGGGCAGTATAGTGAGACCCTATCTCTACAAAAAATGTTTTTAATTAGCTGGGCATGGTGGCACGTGCCTGTAGTCCTCACTACTAGGGAGGCTGATATGGGAGGATCATTTGAGCCCTGGAGTTCAAGGCTGCAGTGAGGTGTGATTATGCCATGGCACTCCAGCCTGGGCAACAGAGCTAAGACC